AGAGAGAGAGAGAGAGAGAGAGAGAGAGAGAGAGAGAGAGAGAGAGAGAGAGAGAGAGAGAGAGAGAGAGAGCCACGCTGTCAATTATGTGATTCTGACGAGTGATGCTCGGTTTCGTCTCTGGCTTTTGCCTTCCAGGAAACGCTCCAATATGCACGCCCAGCGTTACGGTTCCCATGACAGCGCTACTTCCAGACAACTCCCCCCCGCGAAGAGCAACTGCCAAGCAGATTGGATGCTGATTGCTTCATTCATTCATCCATTATAACACCTGCTTGACATCAGTCTGTCGCACCCTTACAGTCGAAGGCGACTTCCCAACTCTTCCGGCCGACCAATCTTCAATCACATCGTCCGCGCCCACCAAACTGAGGCTCACTCCTCACACACACACACACACACACACACACACACACACACACACACACACACACACACACACACACAGAGTCAAAACTGAACCAGTAAGCACATGGCATACATACAAGATCGGTCGATCACAACCATATCCAGACAACACAGCAACCAAACTCAGAATCCCAATCGTCAGCAAACTGATCAACGGCGTGTTTGGGTGGGGTTTTGGGGGGGTGAGTGTAGAAAAAAGAGGGCAATCAAATGGATGCCAAGTCTACTACCTGTAGTAGCAAAGGAACCCTTCCGAGCGGAGAAGAACTGCCGAACGAAATCTCAGAAGTACTGCCCAAAGCTGGTCTTGTTTATTCTGAGAAAGGCAGCTTGGGCGATATATTGTGCAAGCCAAAGATCTTACCACTGAAATCGATTACCTTGGAGGTGCTGGAGTCACTGTCGGAATCGCAAAGCGGCGACGTCAAGCGGGCAGCAAGCGAAGAAGGGGAACAGAATCAGCGGCAGGGGTTGGGAGTTCTGAGGGCAGAGAGAGAAGTGGGTGTTGCCAGCGTGGGGACCACCACAGAAGCCACCAGTCGAGAATCAGGGCAGCAGGGGGCAGGGGAAGAAGGGCAACATAAGCGGCAGCAGGGGGGGCGAGGACAAAGGACGGAGAGAGAAGTGGTTGGGGTTGGGGTTGGTGTGAGTCGGGCAGCAGCAGCAACCATACAAACACAAGCCATCAGTCGAGAATCACGGCCTGCTGACAGCTCTTTCCCCCCTCCTTCAGCAGCAGAGGCTGTGTCTGGGTCAGTCTCAGGACTTCCAGAATCGCCATCTTCATCACCATCTTTTACAAGGGCCAGAGATAACCGAAGAGACAAAGGCCCTCTTCCAATGAAGGCTGTCATCTCTGTCTATCCTGCTACTACAGAACCGCATCAAAAACCTTTTTGAAAATTTTGAATCTTGTAGATTTTTTTTTGTATTGTTGAATTCGTAAGCCACGGTCTTTGGAATGGGTGCTGCAGGAAAAACCAAACAAAGAAAAAACAAAAAGAAGAGATTTGAGCTGTGTGATTCTGTCCATAGCACTGTGTGGTGTCGTATGATGAGGCTGCGCTTTTAGGAAAGGGTCATCACCATCAGCATTGTGCACTGTGCAGGGGTGTTGCTGGAGCACGCACGTCAACCTCCCTCTGTTCTGTTGTTGTGGAAGAGAAGCATACCCTGTGTGTGCAATCAATTGATGTATTGTCTTCCCTCCCTCTTTTCCCAGTGGCTGGACAAGTGAGGAGCAGTGCTACCCATGACAGAATAGATATGCACTGTTCTTGGTCTCTGATTTTCTCCACATTAAAGTACACACGTTGCCGACAATCCCAATAGCAGAGAAAGTAGTAAGCATAATACGTAACCTTTTTCTTTGTCTGTGCCAGCCACTGCCACCGGACACAAGGACTAAACTCAGAGTTTAAACTCAGAGAGTGCCGACAAAAAGTAGTAAGAATAGTACGTAACCTCTTTCTTTGTCTGTGCCAGCCAGTGGCGCCGGACACAAGGACTAAACTCAGAGTTTGAAGTCAGAGTTTAAACTCAGAGAGTGCCGACAATTCGCATAGCGGAAAAAGTAGTAAGAATAGTACGTAACCTTTTTCTTTGTCTGTGCCAGCCACTGCCGCCGGACACAAGGACTAAACTCCAAGAGTTTAAACTCAGAGAGTGCCGACAATCCGCATAGCGGAGTACGTAACCTTTTTCTTTGCCGCCACTGCCACCGGACACAAGGACTAAACTCAGAGTTTAAACTCAGAGAGTGCCGACAATTCTCATAGCGAAAAAAGTAGTAAGAATAGTACGTAACCTTTTTGTTTGTCTGTGCCAGCCAGTGCCCCTCGAGACAAGGACTAAACCGAGAGAGTTCTCATCTGTGTTGCGCACTATGTATAGTAGGGGGGGAACACCAACCAACCCGGATCTCTTCCCAGCCCACGGGGCAGGTTGGGACCACAGCTGTGGTGCGAGAGAGCAAGAGTGTACCAGTCCCTCATCACGGTGACGAGGGGTGGGCAGGCATTGCCGATGTGGGAAATGGGGGGTGCTAGTGCCAAGCAATGGCCAGTCACTGCACCTCCCCCTACACCCCCGCCCCCCCCCCAAAAAAAAAAAAACCACATGGGGGTGTCTAATGGCCAATATTGTCGTTGCATAGCAGCCAAACCACATCAGCCAAGGCACGGAGGTGAGGCCAATTGGTGTTACACCAGCTAGAGGTAACCCGTTGGCCCCCCAAGCTAGCATTTGGCAGGACCTTGGCTGATGTTGTTGGTTGCTATGCAGCGACAATATTGGCCATTAGACACCGACATGTGGGGTTGGGGGGGGGATAGGGGGAGGCGCAGTGACTGGCCATTTCTCGGCGCTAGGTACAGCCTTGCTCTCTCGCACCACAGCTGTGGTCCCAACCTGCCCCGTGGGCTGGGAAGAGATCCAGGTTGGTTGGTGTTCCCCTCTACTATACATAGACTAGGAGAGGATGAGATAGATGCATATACTGTTCCCCTCTACTATACATAGACTAGGAGAGGATGAGATAGATGCATATACTACCAAGAAGGTGAAAGAAGAATATAGCTTATTTAAAAAAAACAAGTCAACCCGCCGTGGCCCAGCTCAGCCCCACCCCAGGCACGGCCATTATCTGGCCCGGGCGACATTGAGGGTGTTTGTTTTAGAACATGAGGGACGCGCAGCATGTGGGGGGCATCGGCCAGGGCATCAGCACGCGGTCGGATCCTTTGTAAATCAGAATTATTTCGTTGTGGTAGCCGCTGGATTCGAACTCACGTGTGCAGTTTCATGTGTGCATCAACTGAGCAGCCTGCCAATGTGCAAAATGAGAAGGAATCTTCTGCAAGAACATAGGAAGATACAACGAACAGAAACATTGAAAGGAAATCCTGGTGTGAGTATGAACTAAGGAGCTGTCAGATGCAAATGTCGCGGTGAGAGAGAGAGAGAGAGAGAGAGAGAGAGAGAGAGAGAGAGAGAGAGAGAGAGAGAGAGAGAGAGAGCAAAATGGGAATGAATCTGTTGCTAGAACATGGAAATATACACTGCCACATTTTCGGTCTTAGACAGTGTATATTTCCATGTTGTGGCAGTGGATACTTTCATGTTCTACGGGAAGAGTCGATCCCGTTTTGCTCATTTGGTGAAGCCTGGCAATGTCGGTCTATGTGTGTCTGTGTGTGTAGGATGATCAAAATCGGAATGAATCTTCAGCCAGAACATGGAAATATACACTGCCTGTGACGGCCACACTTTTTT